GCGGGGATGGTGTGAATGGTTTCAGAGGTATTGATCGAGCGAACCCCAGTGCATACGGGGTTCGAATGGGGGAGGGGATCCCTTCCCTTCCCCCACTCGAACCCCGTATGCGCGAATTCAACTCAGTAACGCGGGGGAGGGGATCGACATCCCCTGCAACGAAGTAGGGGTTCGATGGTGTAGATCATGCCAGAGACGCGGATATTCTGGTTCTGCTCAGTCATTACCAAGCATTTCGTTCATTTTGATGGAGGATTTTCTTTGAAAGCCGGGTTCTTCTCTCAGCGACCTGTGGCTTGCAATTTGTCTTTCTTTTCTATATTCGCCTTTTGAGAAGAAATCCGAGCAACAATAGCTGCCAATTTCGATTATTTGTAGGAGTTTTTGATCATTCAGGAAATTTGCGCATTTTTCATATAACATATTAGTTTTAACTATATAGGCTGAGTAAACACATTGTAACTTTCATATTTCATGACATATTGCCATTATCTTATCATTTTAACATAAGCTGCCTTGAAAAAATCTAGAAAGTAGCATATTTGCCTATTTCTGAGTAGAAATTCCCTGCGGAGTGATCCCCTCCCCAGCGTTCCCCTTGTGCATAGCAGGGATGGCTGCTGGGGATCATTCCCCTGGGATAAAGGACGATATGCAGCTGATAGCTACAGCGTTTATGGAGAGCTGGCACAATTTGCAGCTTTTGTTATGTGTTAGAATACTGCTTTGAGCGTCTGCGCGGCACCCCCCCCCCCCCTTTTTCGGCAGCCTAACGTCTTCTACCCATTCCCTTGCAGAGACACATCAACTTCTACAGTTCAACATTTTTACGCTGAAATGGAGCAGCATGAGCGAAAGTGGGCAGCATCCAAGAAAGCATGAACATAATGGGAGTAGAGACAATCATTTTTAGTGCCCCGAGCGCATTCACTGCATACGCGCATTCCGCAACCCTAAATTAATGAAAGTGAGGAGATGAAGATGAGTTGCAGTCAAAATATGAAATAAGAAAGAGTTTTTCATAGAAAATTTGAAAGCAAGGTGAATTCCCCGCTTGATCCCCTCTTGTGCATAAGAGGGTTCACTTCCCCTCCCCACAGGGGATCCCTTGTCCGATATTGTCTTTGTGCATACGGGGGTTCGCGCGGGGAGGGGAAGGGATCCCCAGCGGGGATCGTTTCTGTGGTTAAGCGCGCATCCCCTCCCCGCGGGGATGTACGTGCATACGGGCCTAAGTGTTTTTCCATTCAAGTGCAGTCTGTTTGATGTCGTTCAGCTAGTGAGTGTTTCTTTGGAGAGCTAATACTCAGAGAATTCTTGGTAAAACTGCTTTTATACTTTTAGCCCATATATATTACCTCAGCGGCTCCATTGCTTCAACCCCTTCAAAAGGCTGCTTCGATTTAGATGTTGCCGCTCCCGACGGAGGCCTTTGCATAGTTTACTTTGTATCTAAGCTGTTCTGAAATGAAAGATTGTTTTGTGAAGTAGAAGCTACAAACTATCAGGATAATTACTCTAACAACGGTAGAATACTTGTCCGAAGTGATTTTTAAATGAAGCGTACATCGTCTTATAGAGTCTCGAACGCTGATTTTAAATCTGCTTTCGATATCTGTAAAGCGCTTCTGAGAGTTATAGGAATCTATTGAGGCAAGAATTCAAAGATTTGGCTTAGTAAAAAAAGGTGTTAGGGCTTTCCAGCGCTTGAAAAAAGTAATGACTGGCGCTTATTACACTGAAAATATGAGCTGCATAAAGTGAAAGAAGAAGGAAGAAGAAGAGCTTCTCAGAAGCGCTCTACCAAAAGCAAATTTGGAATCAGTGTTATATGCTCTGTAAGACATTGTACATTTCATATGGAAACGCTACTTCAATGGATGTCGCGACTTTGTTACCATGATGCTTGACGAGCTCCAAAGAAGATGTCAACAATTACACAGTAACGTCGAACTAGCGACCTTGCAGGGTCGTGTGATTAGAACAAATGAACAACATCAAGAACTTGGCAAGCTTTGCCTTATATCACTGCAGTATGATAGCCTGTTTAATTATCGTAATGCAATAACAATTTTCTTTTGAATGACAGGTTTATAAGTGGTTTGGCATTAACAAACGGCTCTGTTCTTTATGTGCACAGCCTGCCGCAACTGTAATTGAGCTCAAAAACCATGTCTTTGTTATATACTTCGAAGGGCAAAGATTATGCGGTTAGGCTCCCGCCAGAGTGCCGAGGCCACGCCAGCGCTACGCCGGCGCCGAGCCAACGTCTCGATCGATACACGTGTATTTCGTTGGGGCGAGGCTAGCTGACCTAGTTCTCAGCCAGGGCCCCGCCCCAACAAAATACACGTGTATCGATTAAAACGCTGGCTCGGCGCCGGCGTAGTGCTGGCGTGGCTTCAGCATTCTGGCGGGGGCCTTAGAAACTCTTAATTGACTCCAGACAGCAGCCAGCAGATAAAGCAAGTTCTAAATCACCGTTCTAGATTTATCCAGTAGTTCTGATTACCACAGTCAACAAGAACTTTTCCATGTTTAAAGTGGGAATTCGAAATGAAAGGCTTGGGAAGTTGAATTATTTTGGACCAGTGGCGTTCAATTGCGAATAATCAAAGCCTGATTTTCTTCTCCGTGCAACTATACGGCGTATCATATAAAGACCAAGACGCTTTGCATAGAAAGCTTTTAGTTTTGATACGATTTGAGTAAAGCAATCCCTGTAGAGTGTGAAAGGCTACGAATTTTGAACTGCAAGAGCACTTATGGCGACCCCAGTTTGAAACTTCGAAGAGCGAAAACCTTGTGTATGGCCTGACTACGATTACCATTAGGCTCTATCTAATTCAGATAAATCTAGCTGGCTTACCCGGCTCCGATCTGCGCTGTCAAAACATATGATGAATCATCGCTATCCCAGTACAACCTTTCCCTATGCCTACGCCTACATGCGAGTTTACTATTCCCTAATATAAAAACTAATATTGTATTCGTAGTCATTGTTTTAGTGATCAGCATGCTTGATTATCCCCCTATGTCAACTCCCAGCCCGTAGCCCAAACTTTGAAAAAAACCGATAAAATCGATAAAGGTAATGGATAATTACGAAGACTAATATCGTATTCGTAATCATCATGCTCGATTACCCCTGTGCCAATTCCCAGCCCCGCAGGTCAAACTTTGAAGAAAACCGATAAAATTGATAAAGGTAATGGATAATTCTAAAAACTAATATTACCAAACTATATTGTATTCGTAGTCAGCATGCTCGATTACCTCCCCCCCCCCGTGCCAAACCCCAGCCCCGTAAGTGAACTCTGCAAAAATCGATAAAATCGATGTCGATCGATGAGGAAAGTAGCCTATGACGCACGCGCCGCCCCGAAGTGTATGTGTGCAAAGTTTGGTCCGGATCGGTTCAGAAATAAAATTTTCTATTCGGAACGTTCGTACACACATAAGACAGAGAGGCAGAAAACAGACAAACAGACATTCAGCTTCATATATAAGATAGATACGAACCAGTTTTCCGAGCAATAATCTGTTTTATTTGCGCAAATATTAGGTTGTTGCATAATGTCCGATTTGAATTTTTTGAGTTCGAAATGTCATGAGTTCTTTCAAAGCCAACTTTTTTCCAAGATCTTAGTTTCTGTGTGTTGAGCAATTCCTTGGCTATCAGATACATATTGAAATCTGCGAAAATCCGTGTTAGGAAGAAGCAAGCTCAAAAACTTTACAGCGCTTTTCTTCAAACCTGTCTTTTTCGACATGGCAATGCTCCATTATAAGAATTGATAGGCATTTTGTCTAAAAATGGAAAGAGAATTCTTCGCAGATTATTTTGCACCATAAAGGAGACCACAGGATCTGCGTTGCCGAGAGATTTTTTTGACCGAACAAAAAATTAGCCACTTTTTGATCTCGCTTCAGCGCATGTGTGCAATCCTATTTACGACTTATGAAGATTTTACAATTGACGTGAGCGCCGAAAAAGAATTGGTGGTTGGGCCCTGCTAGCTCTTGCTTTACCCTAGCACCTCCAACTTTGAAGCCGTCGATTACTTCTATTCGCAGAAAGTTATAGCTTGTGAAACATCTATACAGAAAATTAATGTTTGACAATAAATTTTACTAGCAAGACGTTTTCTTCATGAAATGAACTTGTGCGTATGCTAGCCTATTACACCCTTATTTCGCAACAAATCAAAAAACTTGACCTGAAGGACTTGTAAAGATCTCCTCGCAAGAACATATTTCTAGGGTGAGAACGTACCTTGGCCACTCGGAGTTTTTAGGCCTGAAATCTCCTTACACTAAGAAAATTATTGAAATTTGATATGCTTTAGAAAAAAGCACTTTCTAATGGTACTAACAATACCGCATTAGAGATAAAATTCTCTTAAAACAGCTGCTTCAAACATAAGGCAAAAAAATCGGACAGAACTTATGCAACAACCTAATACTTCTCATAAAGAATTCTCCGCGTCGCATGCACTTTGATTTCGCAGTGAATTTGCAGGGGAGACGGTCGAATGGCGCGTTTTGATCGATTGTCACTGATCAGAAAAGCCAGAAAAAAGTTCAAATTTGATTTAGTACTTCCGGGACTTCAACTAGTAATCGTTTGTTATTGTTTCTGATATGATGACAAAACATTAGGAGTTTAGAAACCTCGCTTTTGTAGAGTAGAAATCCCTCTGGCAATCACGACTGTCGAAACGCGCGCCTTTCGACATATACCCAATTTTCAGTGGAAAGTGAATCCAAATGTTTAGGAGCTAGGAGCTCTCAAAGCGCTTGCAGCAAGCAAACCATCGAAACAAGTGCAGTTCGATCGCACCTTCATAGTTTTCAGAATGCATGTCAAAGTTTTAATTAGCGCGTACCAGATTTACTACGAGTGCACGACATGCTCAAAGACATAATTATTGTGGGACAACATAAGACTAGCAAAATCACGCTGTTGTTCAATGCTTGACTGCGACCAAATCATCCACTCAATCACATCGAGTGATGCTTTCAATTTGGCACGCAAAGTAAAATTTTCTTGTACAGCTGATGTCGTTCCAGGTGCCGTCCGCGTTGACCTGAAATTATGCAGATATCACCAATCTACATGTTTCCATCTTTAACTCATCTAGATTATCTTAGAAATCTTTCAATCCATTTCGGAGAGTATGAAGGTAGAAAAACTTGACGCTTATGGCTTTTGTAAGCATGTACATAGGGCATTCATAAAAGTGGACGATGACGGCGTACGAGGTTTCGGCAACTGCACTTTCTTGGCCTCCATCCCTACTCAAACAGTTTATTTGCATGACGGTAGCCTTGTAGGCAGTGTCCAGTCAAAGGGCGCGTAAGTTCTCCTGAAAATTGATGAAGGAGTCTCAACTAAGGCACTGCTCAAGGGGCAGCGCAAATTGTTCATTCACAGCTGAGAAGTCCGTCGCCGAAAACCCCGCGCCTGCGCCGTGACCGTAACCAAACGACTTTGACCACTTTAACACCAGCTCGTGCTGGGACATATCCTAAGTGTTACAACAGTCACGGCGCAGCCGTGGAGTGTTGGGGGATGGATTTCTCAGCCGTGACTGAGTTATTTGCGCTGCGGTTTGGGCAGTGTCTTAGCCAGAACCTTCTAATCAGTTTCCAGGCAAAAAACCCGTATGCCCCGATTTGTATGGACACTGCCTTTGAGGAAGTGACTGAGATGAGCACTGGAATAATGCCCTTTCTTCGAGTTACGCTTTCGTGACGTTTGGATGGACGCAATGACTTCAGTCGAATCCACGCTCACAATGCTGTCTTGTTTTGAATAACATAAGGTGGGTAAGGACGAGCACTGTCCCAAAATTAATTTGCAAAATTTGGTTTGCATGGCTTTTGCTATTGTTCAAGTTACTTGTATACCAGTGGCGGTCCGAGAAATTTTCTTCGGGGGGGGGGGGGCGTTGATACCACTGCT